AAAAAAAAAAATGAATTCACAAAGCATTTTAGCTTCCACTTATACAAGATTTCCATTTGTTGTTGTAACGGATTATTTCAATAAAAAATTAATAAATCGAAATTCAATACAAGATTTTTGTTAGAATTTATTTGAATTAAAATTTGACCATTGTTTCAAATTATAAATTTTGGCAGTGGCACGTTGAATACAGAAGTATTGTGTACTTTAACAATATATCTTCGAGGAAAGGCTCAAATGAGAAACTTATTAACCTTAAAAGAGCTAATGGATGGTGAGTCATGCACGTCCGGTTCTTCACCCACCGTCATACACTAAATAAAAAATTAATATTTTACAGTTTTGGAATTAGATAGGAACAGCTTAAACTTATTGCCATTCATATACTACATTGGTTTATTTGTGTTTCCAAACATATTATTTGTAGCAGTTGAGCTGAAGATCTCCAAATTTTGTTTTGCTTAGCTTCTCTATCTTCTTCCACTTCGATTAGTCGCCCTCACCTAGACTCCACTTTGATTCAACAGAAAGATGTTTAGGATAAAATGAATGCTTGGGTGGGAGGGAGGGATGAGGATTGGTACAGTAACTTGAAAGGTAGGACCTCTTTTCTTTCAGTTTTTGGGCACTTCCAATGAGTTTATTGCTTTGGAAAGATACAGACATGAAGTATCTAGTGAAACCATTTCAATGTCATTTCTCTTTAAACAACAATAAATAAAATTTTAATCATAAGAATGAATATCAACCTCTCTTGCAAAATCCATATTATCTTTGCTAATTGAAACTGGCACCCAATTTGGTATAAGATGCATACCAAGTAGAATGACTTCAGCTACCAATTCTTGCTTATTCAAAGAGCTATCGATAGAAAAGCAACCACTAAATGAGACCACCTTGTTAGTAGCCTTTGCATTAGATGCAAACATTGAACAATGGAGTTGAGAAGTTGAAGTCAAGCACACGGAATCAAGAAAATCACCTGCGGCGATGGAGAGTTACAAATAGGGCGATTCCACAAAGGGAGAAGGGTGGCGGTGGTGGCCCTTGGGGTCAATTAGTGATATCGAAATAAGGGCAAAAGAAAGGGATGAAGGATGATCTCAAGAGGGAAAAGGGTAAGAGGAAGAGATGAAGAGCGCCTAGACTTGGGGCAATTTCCCCAATTTGAATGGAATTTAGACAAGCGAGGGATAGGCCAACTCGCAAGAAAAAAAAAATGGTTTTTTTAGGTGGGCCAGCAGTGTGTGTTTGGGTGCGTGGGTTACTAGTGGGCACGTATCATTTTCCAAGTGAGTTAATATATA